GTCAACTTGGTAACAAGTTGAGGGACTAAAGCTAGATAATTTGCTTAAACTATATTTCAATTTGCTGGTGCTAGTAATCACCACCCTGTCGTTGAACAACCATCATTCAAATTAAAGAAGGTCTTCATATGTTTCCACATTTTAGGATTGTAGCTACAATATTCCGAACCTAACTGTTGCAACAATAGTTTGTAAGCTCACTTTGTTGAACAATGAGAATAAAGTAGTTGTATTACATTACAAAAGTAGACTGTAAATATTAAGAGTCATTGTCAATTATAGCACAGAAGCACGGTATTCGACACATTGAGTCTGTGGTGACACTCTGCAGAGCAATATGGTCAGTTCTAATTCTCATCTTGATCCTTGTAACACTGTTCATTGACTTCCTTTATGTACCTATCCAGTTTCCTTTAGAAACCTTTGATTGTTTCACCACTTTCACAGGCAATGAGTATGTAAAAACATTTCTCGTTCTCACATTCCCAAATTCTTGTCTATAAAACGAAGAGCTAGCAGAATGTTGTTAGGAAGTCAAACAATATCAATAATATACCTGAGCTTACAGTAAAACAACTTAACACAAAAAAATGAATTAAATAAAATGTACAGCAAACCAGTTCACCTAATTGGTTGAATCCATTTTTATGCTCCACATAAGCCTTCTCCCACTTGACTAAATATTTGCAAAATTATCGTATATGTAGCTCTTCCCGATCTTTTAGGACAAAAAAATACTTATACAGTTCAATGAGAACTTACGTCAATGTCTAATTCTAGAACACCTTCCCAACATTCATACCTGCAACACTACTCACAGCAAATTCCCAATAATATGTGACATTAGTAGCAGGTCTGTGAGGGAGGCAGTGAGGGGAAAGAGAAAAGAAGTTTTGATTCTCCCACTTGTTGTTAGGATTTATGCAAGATGAGCAAGATCACAGCTGTACAACCCTGAGGTCGCTGTGGGTGGATATTCTCTTGAATTGTCGTTGTCCTTGGGAGCAATATTGATCCCACAATAACCTTAGCAAAAGAATTCTAACATTTTCACCCAATGAAATTATTAATATGTACAAGCCAAGGAAGTATAGAACACGTAGACAGGAACTTCTGGTGGAAGCTCATCGATTCTGATGGAAGACTTTAATGTTAACTATTTCCTTATTTCTTTGTTTTTCTACTTATTCTATGAAATAATGCTTAACTTTCTAATTCTGTTTCTCCTCCTAAGTTTTTTGAACCTAGCTATCCTGGTGCCTGAGATGTTGCCATCTGTAGGGACATTATACTGTTTTCACTGCACTCCTGTACTTCCTGTACATGAGTACGCGTGACAAAATCCAAAATAAATTTAAATCTAATCAACCTGAAATGCTAATTCTTCCTCTTCGTGCATGTGCCTTAGTTGCTGAGTGTTGCCAAAATTTTTGATCTTGCTTTGGAAAATTGCTGCAGTAATATTTCTACCCATCCTTCTCAGTTTTTATGGAAGTGTTGGGAATAGGATCAGCTTGCCTACACTGGGGACCCAGTAATTGTGGCACAATAATAGTGAAATAAATGTGCTGTTAATGAGGAATCTGTGGAATGTCCTGGACAGTCAAGTTTAGTTTTGATAGCATTTTTTGAAAGCATATTGTATTCACTGTAACAAAATAACAAGGTCAAGGAAGCTACTTTAACTAGCATGTGGCTGCTGTGGCCATCTCATATGCAATATTTCATATTTTGTAACAAATAACAATCAGTTTTGAAATTAGTAGTGAACCTTGACTAATTAGTGAATTGGTATAATTAATAAGGATATTGATCGAGACTATACAGTCATTCAACTTGTACATTGGGATTTTCTGGGCAAGAAATGTCCAAAGGAACCTTACTCTGGCTATAATGTAGTAGATTCCCAAGGGAAGTTAGGATTCACTTCAAGTCACAATTTTCAGGAATGCAATCACAGCTTTAGGTGAGAACCCCATGTACCTGACAAAGAGAAATCTTGTCATCAATACAACAGTAGCCTTGGTAAACTATTATGAAGAGATGATGGCGTTATTTCAAAGCCCATTTCTCATACCCATTTTCCTGGTTTCTCCCCGTAACCTTTGATCTCCTTACTAATCAAAGACCTATCTATCCATCTTAAATCCTTAGGTACGCAAAACTGCTCACAGTATTCCAAATGTGGTCTGAGAGGTTACGCGCTCCGTAGAAAAACTCACTACTTCAGATATCTACATAAAGACCAGCATCCCTTTTGCCTGTGCAGTTTGAAAGGCTGATGTGCAACCAGACATGTGTTGGTATTCCCTGTTTGTCCCTCACCAGCTGTGTAATGGCACAACAGTCACAAAGCAATGCTCCTCACAGCACATAGCTGATGGCAGCTGGCAGAAAATTGCTGACACTCCCTTGTACATATGACGACATTCTCTTGCCTTGTCACTATTTTCCATTCCTGATAGGTGGAAGATCATCACATGTGACGGCTAGAGAAAGTCAAAAGTATTGAATACTCTGAAGACACTGTTTGATCACAAGTTTACCTTGACGGATGACAGTCAATCAAGTTTATCGGCACGGTGGCTTAGTGGTTAGCACTGCTGCCTCACAGAGCCAGGGAACCGGGTTCAATTCCACCCTCAGGCGACTGTCTGTGTGGAGTTTGCACATTCTCCTCGTGTCTGCGTGCATTTCCTCCGGGTGCTCCGGTTTCCTCCCGCAGTCGAAGATGTGCAGGCTAGGTGGATTGGCCATGCAAAATGGCCCATAGTGTTGAGGGATGTGTAGATTAGGTGGATTATAGGGGGATTGGTCTTGGGGGGGATACTCTGAGGGTCGGTGTGGACTTGTTGGGCCAAAGGGCTTGTTTCCACACTTTCACCCGATGACCAGTCTTATCCTTATCCATAACCTATCTTAAAGCTTATGGAATTATGATCACTGTTCCCAAAATGCTCCCCCACTGAAACTTCAATCACCTAGCTGGGCTCATTCCCCAGTACAAGGTCTTGTATGGCCCTGTACTTAGTTGGACGATGTATTGTTTCAAGAAACTACATGCACCATTTAAGCTTCTGGAACTAAGGGAGTCCTAGTCAATGTTGGGGAAGTTAAAACCACCCACTACAAAAGCCCTGTTGTTTTACATCTTTCTATGATTTGCTTACATATCTGTTCCACTATTGCCCACTTACTATTGGGAGGCCAATAGTCTAACCCCATCGTAATGATTGCACCTTTCTTATTTCCAAATTCTACCCATATGGCCTTGCTGGATTAGCCCTCCAAGATATTCTCTTATAGTACAACTGTGACATTCTCCTTAATCAGTAATCCAACTCCTCCAATCTTTTGTATCCCTCCCTATTACACCTGAAACATCTAAACCCTACAATGTCGAGCTGCCAGTCTTGCCCTTCTTTCATGGTTACAGCATCAGAGTTCCATGTACTAATCCAGGCTAGTAGCTCACCTGCCGCCTTACCTGTTATGATCCTTGCAGGGAAGTATATACAACTTAGACTGCCAGTTCCATAGTTTTCATTAACATGGCCATGCCTGTTCTTCCTACGAAAAACTTACATGCCTTAACTCTACCTTCGTCTCAATCACTGCACTTGCTGACCTACTGTTCCTGTTCCCAACACCCATCACACTAATTTAAACCCTCACAAGTGGCACTAGCAAACCTCCCTGCAAGCATTTAAGTGCCCCTCAGGTTGAGGCGCAACCCATCTTTCTTGTACAGGTTCCTCCTGCCATGGAAGGCATCCCAATGATCCAGATATCTCAAGGCAAAAGTAAGCTGACTCTGGGCCAGAAGTTCTTGGAGAGGAAGCATGCAGTGTCCATCGATACTCCTTTATCGAAACAGATGGGCATCACAGGGGGTACAGTGCTTTATCTCACCTTCCAAACTCCATTTTCATTTAACTTCCTTCCCCCACCTCACCCTCATCTTCAATGGTTTGCAAAGCACATTAAGGGCAATGCAAATGAATTATTCAAATGGAAACATGGGTGATTTAGTAGTGGTGGTTAACAGATGAAAAAAAATCACTGATGATTTAGTGAGTGGGAGGAAAACAACCTCCAGTTGTACGTAAGAGCACTTATGGATCTTTTTGCTAAAAAAAACCTGACACTGGAATGGTGCGATAGATTTGTTATCATTCCAACTGATGGTAATACTGGGTGACAAAGTTTCCAGAATGAAGCCTGGTTTGATTGATCAGTATTATTTTTCTTATTGCTTACCGTGAAAGTCTATCATTGAACAGATTCGCAATTAAAGAACATAAGGAGGTGGGGAGAGAAGCCAGGAATTTCAAAATTGTGCATTAATTCTTCACAGATTATGTACAGCTTTCTTAGAGGAATTCTCCCCGTCAGATGAGTTCAGATGCTTTGAATCAATCAAAATGTGGTTATCTTTCAACATGCTCAAGTGTCAAGCTCTCCCACTCTTAGCCTTTCTCTTTGCTTAAGTATTCAAGATAGTAGGTGCTATGATTTCATTAGACTTGGGTTGCTGCTTCATTATACTGAAAAAAAAGTGCCGTGTGTAGTCATAAAGCCCTATCCAGCTGAAGAATAATTCAGTACATTTATTGCTGCATTGTAGGAGCATGTGTGTTTCCCTCAGTCCCAATGTCAGCCTTGAATGCAGTCTCCCATTTAGAGACAAATGGTTTCAGCTGAGTCACAGGTTACTCTGCATCGGTCTTCAAACAATAAACCAGTCTCTTGCATAAAATACGACAGACTGTCTAACATGCCAGCTGACAGACATTTGTGATACAGCAGTTCACAAATCCATGCAGAAAGCTTTGGCTTGGTCACTACTTTTCTACTCTTATCGGCATATTTACTCTTATCGGCACATTATCTAACAATCGGCATTGCAACTCCTCGCCAACTACACAAACCGCCAATTCACTTTAATAATGGATTGATATCAAAACAAGCCAAACTTAAAACACAGAACTGTCACTTACTTTCACATGTTGGGACCTGGCCAGTCCACCCGCTGGCCTCACACATGCGGTAGTTTCTACCAACAATCCGATAACTGAAAGAGTGAAAACGGAAATCACTCATCATGCACTATACGAATGTGAGTGGTAAAGCAAAGTGTTCAGCGATGAGGATTAAGAATATCATACTCAAGCACAAACTATCAAAATAATTACAGCACTTTGGCCTTATGCCCTTTTATTGTATTATGTTACAAGATGAACTATTAAACATCAGAAGAGTTCATTATTGCTGTATAAGGAGAGAAGCAGCATTGTATAGTTTTTGTCACAGATCTCTTCACAGATGTGTGTAACTGGCTAAGCCAGCAATTCTTGCCCATTCCTAATTGCCCTTGAGGTGGTGGGAGTGAGTTGTTTTTTGAATCGCTGCATTACTTATGGTGGCTGGTTGGAGCTGGCAGGTTTTCACCCAGCAACAATTAAAAAAAGAAATGGTGATGTACTTCCAGATCAGAATTCTGAGAGACTTTGTGTGGAGCTTCCAGGAGATGTACCTATGTACCTAGTATCCAATCTTCTAAGTTTGAGAAGGTTGAGGTTTTGGAAAGTGCTGTTAAAAGGAGGTGTGGAAATCTGTTGCAACACATTTTGTAGATAATACACACTACTGTCACTGTATTCCAAAGAAGCAAGGATTGAATGTTGAAGGTGGTTGCTGGGGTGATGTCAAATGAGTGGTTTGCTTTGCCTTGGATGTTGTCAAACATGAGTGTTGCTCCAACTCATTCATCTAAACCAATAAGGAATATGGTGTCACATTCCCAACTTGTGCTTTGCACTTGGTGGACAGTATTTGGGAAGTCAGGAAACAACTTATTAGCTAAAAATCAGTAATTTTTAAAACTCCAGTTATGTCAATAAATAAATTTCCATCTCACGTGGGGAAAGTCTGTACCAATACTTTTCATGACGCAACAAAATTCCAACACAAAATCGGCAGGTAGTCAGAGATTACCAAGCAGAGGGCAGGGTTTTTTGCCCACGCCACCCCTCAGGAAAAGACACAAACAGTTCCCAGTAACCAGGGATTGAGGTGAAACAATAATACTGCCGAAACAGAAAGACATTTCCAAGAAAGGCTGTATAGAGGATCAACCATGATCCTACTGAATGGCAAAGCAGGCTTAAGGGTCCAAACAGCCTACTCCTATTCCTATTTCTTATGGTCTAATGCTTGGTGTGGAAGTGGGCAGTCCTCCTCTGGCAGAAAACAGTGGTGAAACAGCTTCCTGCCACCTCAGTCAGCTCAGGAATTGAAAGAGAACAGCGAACAGAACAGTCAAGAACAAAAACAAAGTTGCTGGAAAAGCTCAGCAGGTCTGGCAGCATCTGTGAAGGAAAAAACAGAGTTAATGTTTCAGGTCCAGTGACCCTTCCTCAGAACAGTCAAGATATTGCTACCTTCAGCTGCAGGAACCCATTCCCATCCTCCTTAAGAATTGGTAAAGCTACTCCCACCAGTCATGAGCTGTTTCAGTTTATTTATTTTATGCATCATATTTAAACTGTTGCTTACCAATAAACTACTTTAAAATCACTTAAGAGCTCAACCTCTTTAAACGTTTGCCAAATCTAAACATTTCATTTTATTAGTATTTAATCCCGGTTTTTAATGAATTGAATTTAAAACGACCCAGTTGCCATCATGGAATTGAAACTCATCTCCAGAGCATTAATCCAGGTTGGGGACAGTAGGACAATACTATTACCTCTACACTATTACTCCCATTGATACTGATGTAATTTGTGCGTGGTGCTAGCTTGGTATAAAAGCAACAGTTTAAAAAATTGATTATGAATCATGTGATCAACTAGAAATTAAGTGCTTTCTCTTCATTGTCATCTTAAGGGATTCAGACCATATTCAAACAGCAAGCTCACAGCTGGAAGTAGCCAGAATTCCGCACCTGGCAGGCAACCAATGTACTTGAGATAAGAAATCCACAAAGATGCTCCGAGTTAGCCGTTGAATTTGAAACCCAATTCAGATGAGCAACAGCAGTAATAAGAGAGAGAAAAAAATCACCTGTCATTATAGTGGGTACTGGACCAGACTAGCGATGTATGTTGACCTCAGGCAGAGAATGGGAAATGTAACCTTGAAGTAGTATAACCTGACATTCATCCATGAATCCTTGGGTCCAATACTCACCACATTAAAAAAGATTTTAAAAATTTGATTCAAAGAACTAATTGCCACCTTCTTAGACTGGTGACAAGTTGTTTGTAAATTGTAGTAATTGTAGACAAATTGTAGTAACAGCATCAAAATGCTATAATCACGCCTAAGAAGAAATTAAAGGAACACAAGTTGTCAATAAAAATCAAATAAGCTTCTTTGAGGCATCTGTATACTGAATACTCACCCATTGTCACAATAAAACACAGCTTTACTCCCCAGTGTAGTAGCATTGGCCTCATAATACCCATTCAGAATCTCTCCTGGATTATCACAGTTGCTTGCTACAGAGAGAAAAAAATTGGAAAAACGCAGAAATTTCACGAATTTCCAATAGACCTTTCCTTTGCAAATTTCAAATCAGACGATGCACAGTTTTCCAGACTATCGTGCTGCCCTAATTATCAAGTTTATATTTGCTCAGCCATAACTTTGAAAAAAAACAAGGTTGAAAACTCCCAAATACTGTGCTTAGCCAATACTTAATAGGATAAGCAGAATTTAAGCAATAATTCCTGCAGATTTGGATGACACTGGATCAAGAACAAGGAGTCTACATTCTTGGAATACCATTCCTGTCAAATGCTTCTTCTTGGATAGAACAGGAAGGGACAAGGAAATAACATGGGGAGTGGAAAAAGAAAAAAAATTATTCTGATTACATACGTTCACATCTGGCCCGTAATGGAGACCAGGTTGAATCTTGCTGACAAATAATAGATCTTGAAGATCCTTCCGCAAACGTATAACTTATGTGGCATTTGTAACTGACCCTGGTTCCAACCGGAAATGAGGTCTGAGAAAGGGCTTGGTCAGATAGAGCTGTGGAGATAGTAAGCCGCTGTACTTGGGAATGATCCGGATAAATGTTTGAAATAGGCCACTCAAATCAGAGGCCTCTCACATTCAGGAGACAACATCAGCAACAAGAAGCAGGAACCTTGGGAACAGGATGAACAGCCTCAACTTCAATTCACCCAGCCAGGGGTAGTACAAACTTGTTTACCTTCTTGCACTTGTAAAGCAGATTTTAAATCAGAGAGAGAGACTGTAGGCATTTAAGAACTGTCAAGTTACTCTGCAAATTAGAGCAAAGACTGGTTTCATAAAATTACATCTTGTGTTTCAACGATTACAACTCTTAGTGTAAAACGAGTCTCACTAAGCAAGTAGATCAGATACACATGAAAACAATGCTCACAACGCTGGTACAATGCATGCAGCTCTGATTAATAAATAGTGTGTAAAAACTGAAGCCATGGCAGTGACTTTATTTCACCATCTCTGCTGCTAGTTCCAGAGCCGCGGGGATGGTTCATGACGGACATTACACAGGCCTGAAGCAGCAACGAGGAGCCGGGGCGCTGCTTACCCGTTACCCGGACCACCCAGACAGCCAGGAGACCGAGGACCAGCCGCTGCGACATTTCACAACCTCTCAAAATACTGGGGGAGATTCTGAAATCCTGAAAACGATTAGACTCCAATCTTGTTGTTCTCTCTTTTCCCGGGACTGAAACTGCTGTCTATGACAAACTCAGCCCCTTTGCTGGCTCTGGAGCCAGTTCTAAAACAAACACTTTGCCAAAGTGCGCTGGAGTTTTCTTGTTCAAGTGAATAACACTCAGGCAGTCCCCAATATACTTAAGGGCCTCAATGTAAACATAATATTATGAAACTATTTTGTAAACGCACTTGTGCAGTTAGTGTCTGGTTTTAAATATTTTACATTCCGCCCAATTGGAACTAATCTGAGAGAAAGCAGGGCAGTGGGCTCACTGTTTGGGTTACTTTTCTCAAGGAACATTCTCGACGCAGAATCACATTTCAAAATCACTTACTAGGCTCGGCCTCAACCGGAAAGGTATTTCATAGATTTTCTTCTAAATTACCAGCTCTGTATAACGGGGTGTATTCAGGTATCAAGCAGGCAATGGGACGTGCGACACAGACAGTTTGGAGTGTAAGTTATACCCAGAGAAAGTGGCAAAGGAAGCATCGGTTTACTAGGCTAATACCTGGAATGTGGGAGTGGGAAAATTGTTTCAGAGATAGTTGGAACTGCAGATGCTGGAGAATCTGAGATAACAAGGTGTAGAGGTGGCTGAGCACTGCAGGCCAAGTAGCATCAGAGGAGCCGGAAGGCTGACGTTTCGCGTCTAGACCCTTCTTCAGAAAAGGGTCTTTCTGAAGAAGGGTCTAGACCCGAAACGTCAGCTTTCCTACTCCTCTGATGCTGCTTGGCCTGCAGTGCTCATCCAGCTCTACACCTTGTTATCTCTACGTGGGGGTGGGTTGTTTTATGGAGAATTTTGGACAGGGTTGGCTTGTATGCTTTGGAATTACAAGATTAAAAGGTGGTTTGATTTTAACATATAAGATCGTGAGAGTTCTTGACAAGGTAAATGGGGAGAGGATGTTTCATTTTATTGCAGAATCCTGTTTATTGCAGTCACTGTTAGAACATCGTGATTCATAGAGAATAGGTGAATTTAGTTTTTCTCTTAGCAAGTCAGGGTCTTCGGAATTATTTTCCTGAAGAGGTGATGGAAGCAGAATCTTTGAATATTTTAACGGCAGAGGCAGATGGATTCTTTTTGAGGTTTGAAATGTCATCAAAGACAATTGGGAAAATGGATTTGAGATTACAATCAGATCAGCTGTAATTTTATTGAATAGTGGTGCATGTTTGAAAAGGCAATATGCCCATTTCTGCTTCCAATTCATATATTCTTATATTATGCTTTATTGAATATTGTTAACTTTCTTGTCACCTCAGACAATTTGTGTACATAAGCACAAAGGTTCACCAGTTCTGCACCCCTCAGAATTGTGCCAGTTATTTTATCTGTGTTCTTCCTCCCAAAATCAATCACTACACATTTCTCTCTATTAAATTTCAACTGCTGCTTGCTGACCCATCTTACCAACTTTCATACGTGCTATGAAGTTCTACACTATCCTCCTCATGGTTCAGAATGCTTTCATGTTTCATGTCATCCATACATTTTGAAATTGTGTCTTTTACTCTAACATCTAAGTTCATATTGGTGTACAGCATGGGAAACAGGCTTTTCAGTCCAACTTGTCCATGCCAACTAGATATCCTAAATTAATCTAGCCCCATTTGCCAGCATTTGGCCCGTATCCCTCCAAACCCTTCCTATTCATATATACCCAGCCAGGTGCCTTTTAAATATTGTACCAGCTTCCATTGCTCTTCTGACGGTTCACTCTATGCACCTACCACCCTCTGCATGAAAAATCTGCCCTTAAGTCCCTTTTAAATTTTTCCTCTCTCACCTTAAACCTATGTCCTCTCATCTTAGACATCCCTACCCTGGGGAAAAGACCTTGACTATCCACCCTATCCTGCCTCTCATGATTTTATAAACCTCTATAAGGTCACCCCTCAGCCTCCAACACTGCGGGGAATATAGCTCCAACTTATTTAGCCTCACCTTATAGCTCAAACCTTCCAACCCTGGCAGCATCTTTGTAAATCTTTTCTGAACCCTTTCAAGTTTCATGATATCTTTCCTATAGTGGATAGACCAGAACGGCACATAGTAATCCAAAAGTGGCCTAACCAATGGCCTGTACAGCTGCACGTGACCTCCCTACTCCTGTACACAATGCACTGACCAATAAAGGCAGGTATACCAAACTAATAATATGTATCATGAAAAGCAGATTTGTTAGACTGACACTTGTGGAACTCCACTATAAACATTCTACCAAGTATTCTCCTGTGGTTTCTCCTGCAAGAATGGGAAGTAAAGACCTATTGGAAGTAATGAGATGTTTTGAATGAATGGAGAGGATTTGTTGATGGAACTATGAGGAAGAAGTATATCACTGCAATAGAAGTAGCAGATGTACAAGTTGGAATGTGAGGTAGTGCATAGACAGAGAGGAATTTGTATGCCTGCTCACTGATTCTCAGTTTGACTTTGAAAGCACCACTCTGATCCAAACACAACAGTTAAACAGGGAAAAATATGTTGAATTCCAGACATAAATTGAGATTTAGTGCCTCAACATGAAGGTATCATTTGGCAGAATTATACCTGGCATAATGAATGACATGTTTTGGTTGTTGCATTTTAGCCCAGGGTATTTCTGCAAGAGTTCCTCAGGGCTTAGTCTCAAATCACCTTCATCTACTTCATTAATGACCAACCCATCATTAGAAGATAAGAAGCAATTACTGATAATTGCAAAATGTTCAGTTCAAATTTACCATTTTTCAGATAAAAAAGCAGCCTGCGCTTGTAGCAGAGTAAGTTTTTGAGTAATTTTCAAGTATAGATTGATAAATGGCATGTAGCATTTGCACCAGCAAAGCGCTAAGAAAATATTATGATACAAACAGATGGTCATACTGGATAAGTAAGATCCCAGAATGAAACCTGGCTTGAAAGACCATGTGCTTACTTTTGCAATTGGTTACTGTAGGAGCATATTTCCTAACCAGGGACAAAGACTCAGGAGGCAGGCAGGGTTCAGGCAAGTGGAAGATATTTATTCAAGCAGAAATCGGTTTATGCAGGGAGAGGGCCAAAGGATTCTTCCCCGAATCTGGCTTTGGAAGATAGTTCAATGACATACCCTCTGCTTTTACAAAGAAATACAGCATTTTTATACATTTTGTGTTATAATAATCAAACATAATGTATTCCCTGCCCTTTCCCTTAATCCAAACACCCAATCCTGTGGGACATCTAATCAATGATGGGCACTTCTATGGACTACCCTGGGTTGCCATGATCTCATGGTGTTAGCCAGACATTGTAATCTCTCGGCCTTAGGATCTTTCTATGTATCTTATTCATTCGCACTCCAAAAGTTTAATGGCTATACTCCTTTGTCTTTCTCAGGCTTGTTTATCTGTAAAGACAGCTCAAACTTTGGTGCTGTCTTTTATCAAATTCAGTTACTCCTTTTATTTTCCCTTGGTCACTATTACATAATGTAAAAATAAAAAGTCAGTTAGTTTTAACTAATTGCTATGAGGTTAACATCCATTACAAAGTTAATTTTAAAGTGTAATGTTACACAACACCTGTACTGTTAGCATTTTATAATTTATGGGTTGTGAGCAATCTATCTTGTTTAGGGCATAAGAGAAGGCATCTCCTGAGGCTAGTTAACCTTCACATCTAAGCTTAAATGTTTCTTTAAGGCTTGTATTATATTCTGGTTATAAATTGAAACCAACTTCTATGATTAGTGCATTTTTAGCTAGAAACGATTTAATATTGCAGGTAGCTTCAAAGAGGCAACTATTTGCTACAAATAACTTTAGCTGTTATCCTTACAGCTGCTTAAGGAATTAATCTAGCACCTAATGTTATTCATTTACTGGGACAATCATCCCTTTCATTAATAAAGCTGGAATCGGTCATGTTTCTGTCTCGGATGGGAACATACAGGGTTCTTTTACTTACCTTCGAGCAGTTCTGTTCAAATGTACCATTGTATTTCACCGTGTGAGCAGGCTGCTTAGTTTTGCTTAGCTTCTGGCTGCTATCTTGCAAGTAGGCATGGGCTGCTTAGTGTGTTCAAGTACCAGTCACCTTACGTAGCCCGGTACAGGTCATCACTACAGTTACTGTGATGGTTGGTTACTAAAATATTTTCGCACATACCAGCAATTTTCTTTAACAACAATATGCAAGTTTATTATAAAAGGAAAATAAACAAAACAGTTATCTGTATATTATATATGCATTATATACTCAGTTAGGAATACCATAACATAAACAGTGAAACAAAGTTTCAACCTGTTGACCAACACTATCCATTTACAGATATTCAGTTCAGAAGTATTTCACTTGTATATCAACAAGTTTTTACTTAATTGACTCTTCTCAGTTTATTTTCTTTACTGTGGAAAAAAAATTTACAATTCTTTTCCAAATCCTCTGGCATGTATCCTTCACAATTACATAGAACAGTACAGCACAAGAACAGGACCCTCAGCTCATTATGTCCGCACCAACCATAATGCCATTCTAAAGAAATCCCATCTGCCTGCACATGGTCCATAGCCCTGTATTACCTGCATGTTCATGTGTCTGTCTAAATGGCTCTTCAATGTTGCTGTTGTATCTGCTTCTATCATCTCCCTGGCGGCGCATTCCAGGCACCTACTACTCTCTGTGTAAAAAAAAGTTGCCTTGCCCATCTCCTTTAAAAGTTCCCCTTCTCACTTTAAACCTATGCTCTCTAGAATTTGACATTTCCTCCCTGGGATAAACACTCTGAATATCCACCCTATCCATGTCTCTCATAATTTTAGCAACTGCGATGGGAGATCAAAACCACCCTTTCACCAGGACAGGACTGAGAAACTGCCACCTGCAAGTTCCCCTCCAAGCCACTCCTGACATTGAAATATATGACCGTTCCTTCTCTGTCGCTGGGTCTAAATCCTGGAACCAACTCCCTAATGGCATCCTGGGTCTACCTGTGCACATGGACTACAGCAGTTCAAGAAGGCAGCTCACCATCACCTTCTCAAGACAACTACAGACAGGCAATAATAGCTGGCCCAGCTAGAAACGCATACATCATACAAGTGAATATATAAAAGTGCTTTATCGGGTTGCCCCTCAGCCTCTGATGTTCTTGCAAAAACAATGTAAATTTGTCCAACCACTCATTACAGCTAATGCACTCCAATCTAGGTAACACCCTGGTAAACCTCTTTTGCATCCTTCCCAAAGTCTCTCTTCCTATAGTGTGGCAAACAGATCTGCACACAATAC